CCCCAAAACCCCAAAACCCCAAAACCCCTAGAGAATAAAATAAAGCAAAATATTAAAAAGAAAAATTAGATTGTATTTTAATTAATTACAAAATTTAACCATGATAAAAAGCGTTAGTATTTCTAGGATAAACTCCTCTTAGCATAATTCCAGTTTCATATCTGGGGCTGGATCTTCTATGCAAGGCTACGAACCCTCACTAAAAAGATAGATATTTGATAGAATGGATTTTGATGAAGAGAACATTTCTTTTGAAGAGGAAATACCAGAGATTGCTATAGCTCCAAAAATTGTTAACGGAGAAGGGAATGATGATGTCTAGGATAAGCATGCTTCTGATGGAGAAAAATAAGAATGATAGAACTAAAACGATAGAAGAATTAACTAACAGCAGTTAGATATAGAAAAGTTAAGAATTTGTGAATCGGAACCATTTCCTTTACTGTTGATGAACAGTTGAGTTCTATTCAAGTCTATACATAATATCAAAGCCACTATTCCTCAGATTTAAAGGTAATCTTAATTCGTCTTCAAGCAATCATTAATTATAGAATGCAAAAGCTCAGTAAAACGTTCCTCTACAGCAAGGTATTTGTTTATATATTTTGGACCTATTGGACATCTAAGATTGATGCTTAGTTTTCTACATCAGAAATAAGTGTAATAAGTTAGCAAGAACATGAAAAAAAGTTCAAATCTGTGGATGAGTAGTAAAAAGAGTATAACAAATACTTGGATTAGACTATCATACTAATGATTCTTAGAGAGAAATTGAAAAGGAAATACATCAAGCTTTTTACACTACTCCCCAATCCAAAGGAAAACTATCTTGAAATGTAAATTTGATTGTTATTAAGCTTATAGTATCCCTATTCATTTGACAAAATCTATACAATCTATTCTAAGTGAGAGACTGAAAATGGGCAAGCAGTTATTTGGAAATTAGGCATATTAAGCCAAGATATTTTAGTTTGTTACCAAAGAACTTTCAGGGATTGAGGTTTCTGATCCTACTGCTCTTAAATCAGTCAAGACATTTTAAGTTGAGAATGAACATAGAACTGCATTAGCTGATAAAATTATAATGCATTCAAATCAGACCAATAGCAGATAAGATTCAACAGGAAAGAATCGAAAGAATCTTCATGATCCAATTTAAAGTGGCTATGGCAGCACTGCTAAGTGAATAAACAAAAGCTAAGGGATAAAGCTGCCTAGTCTCAAAGAATAAAAAGCTAATAAGGAACATTAAGTGAGATACGAACTCGAATGAAGAGTTTCAATGATATTCAATAATAAGATATTTTCAAGAGATGAAAGTTCAAGATAAGATTATATCGAACTTAAAGCCAAACTCAAGGAGATAAATACAAGGGAGAAGAGATAAGAAGTAAAATCAGTGGAGGATCAGTAGTAGCAGAAAATGAGTGAAGTCAAGGTTAAAATATCTGATTACTTAGCCAAGCAGAGAAAGATCCATGAAGACAAACTGCTTAATGGCTCTACATAAAATGAATCAACTCATATTTCGAGATCAATGTCTAAGAGCAACATCTTCAATTAATAATCAATTAATTAATCAGCTCTGACCTAATCCGAGAGATCAAGTCAAATCTAATCCAAGTAAACTCTAAAAAGATTTGATCTACTTTAAATGACTCCCATGCTCTAAGAAATTTACAAGGCCAATAGATTTTAAAGCCCCCTAATCTAGTTAAAATTAAGAAGAGATACCAATCATCAGAAATATGAAGAACACACAAATTACTCGCAGCTGTTGTTTTAAGAGTACTAGCTCAATAAAATTTAGGAATCTAAGGAAGACTTTGAAATTCAAAAGAAAAAGGATGAATAAGAGTGAAAAAGTAAGTCATAAAGGTGGTATATTTTAAATTTATATTAGGAAAAGAGGCATTAAGGGAAGAGAAAAGGAGGCTTAAGAATTAAGTCAAATGGAAAATAGGATACAATCTGGATGAAAACGGGAATGTGAAGCAGAGTAAGGGACTGGCGAAGCTTCATAAACTTGAAAAACTGAATGATGATAGTGGACCTTCTACTTAATTACTGAGAAAGATGATGATGCCTCAAGATTAGAGAGACAAGAAGCAAAATAAGGATTAGCAATAAAGTTAGAGATCGCATCTGGTTAAATAGGAATCAGCATAGAATTAGTAAATCAAGAGAAACACCTCAGTGAGGGACATCCTAGAGAACAGGCACAATATGTAGAATTAGATGATGCTGAAAAATCAAAGCCAGGCCAATTTAAGAGAGAAAAATTACTCTATGGATGGTGCTATTGAATCTAAAGAAGACAGACAAAAGAGAATGGAACACTAGAAGGAGTGGAAAAAGAAGAACTACTTTGGTGGGTTTGATAGTTCTGAGGGCGAAGCATCACTTAGTTATAAGTCCATAGATTCAGTCGAGGTCACAGAATGGAAAGATATCAGGAATAGTTCAAACTATAACAGGAAATTTAAACTCAAATGATATTTATTGGATTCAGTTCAATGCTAAACTTGATTTCATAAATCACCAACATTTGAGTTCAATATCTAATTAAGGGGTTTTGGGGTTTTGGGG